GAGGTACACCGATATTACGGTCTGGTACTTGTTTTGTTTTCAGCCAAGTACCACGTAGATCGGTAGGTACGGAGTACTCTCGCTATTTGCGCCAAATTTTCTAAGGTATTTGAAACCTTGTTTGAGTAGTAGCTATATAGGTTGGAGTCAATAGAAAACTAACTGCATGTTGAAGGGTAATTTCGAGTAAATATTATATACATTTTTTCATATAATAGTATGCCTTCAGCACTCAGCAGTTAGTTCTATCGAGTGAGTTCTATCCCGACTTTTAGAAAACTGTCGTTTATAGTTCATTTAAATACTAAGTTTACCCTGAGACAATACGTTTGTGTCAGCTCAAGTAGGCCGCAATAATCAATAAAAATCTTGAATTATAGCACCCTGAAATTTATGTTTGCTTTGCCATTCCGCAAGGTCATTCTGCCTTTTGCATTCACCGGTGGCAATAATCAGGATTTAAGATTATAAGTAGTAGATAAAACTTGAGCAGCCGATCTATATCTGATATACAAAGTCGAGCCGAAGGCGAGTGTTTGTATATCAGATACAGATCGGATGCGAATGTTTTATCGTACTTAAAAAATGACCCATCTTATGAGTTCATTGGAGTTATTAGTTCATTGGAGTTCTGTTCATTATGTGTTCATCTATGCCGAGAAAATCAAAGCTGAAGTTTATGTAAATCAGGACAAATCTTTATCTGATTTACAAACATTGATTAAACATTCATTTCTTTTGTATTTTCCTCGTGAATTATTAATGAATTTTTTAAATATAATTAATCATTTTAGTTTGGTAGATTTGTAAAACATGAGTTCTGGTGTTCAAGATTTGTGGAAAATACGAAATGATCCTGAATATCGTAACTGGCACGCTGTTGGTGACGCTCTTATGTTCCTCAGTGATGGTCTTAGGAAATATGCTGAGAATAAGATGAAAGAGTTTCATGCTTTGATATCGAAGAAAGTCGGTTCTGCAGCCAAATGCAATTGCAAGATTATCCCTGGGACGAAACCAAACCCTCATGGTCGAGCAACAGCTTGTGTTTGGGCCCAAGAATTGAAAAAGAGTCACATTTTTAAAAATAAAACTCATATTCCTTGGGATCAAAGTGACAGTAGCAAATGGCTTGACCCTGCTGTGGGTTACTGGGAGATTGCAAAGTTGTTTATGTCAGGTATAGGATCGGACCCGACCAAAGTTACGGACCCAAATTCCACAGATGTTAGTCCTCTACTTAATTTGTTTAGATTTTGTAAACACTTTAACGTTCAGGCGCCTTTATTGAAAGCAGTTACAGAAAGAAGGAATCAGTGGGCTCATGCTCCAAAACGCAGACTTAGTGACGGCGATAAAAACGCTGCTTTTCAAGACATTAAACTTTTAATGAATGACCCAGAGTTATTGATCAGCAAAGAAGTTCAAGACTGCAAACCAACAATTAACAAAGTGGAAGCGGCGGATGTTTTAATCTTAGAGGAGAATCAATTGCGTCTAATCGAAGAATACCGACGTATTCAGGAATGTGAGAATGTTCGCACGAGAGAAAAGACCATGGTTATTTTTACACTACTATTGTTTATAATGTCAATTCCTTGGCGTTCTGTTCCCAATTTACTGAAGTGGTACTGTTTAACAGTATTTCTCATATTTTCTCAAGTTGGTGACAGGAATGGAATAGTATCAGATGAGGGTAAGATTGATTGCAATTATGTTATTATATTATAATGTCTGTCATATATTGGCTTTCATATATATTATGGGTAAATTCGAACCCACTATCTTAGACTATAGTATAAATGTTACTTCTACATGCAGTATTTACCTATTTAAAGAATTTGTTTCCTCAGTGTTACAGTACAAACCATGCAGCAATTAATATTAAAGTGGGGAAGGTGAATTCGGAGGGTAGTTTGGGTTACTTGCCAGTGTAGAAAATATTCGATAAATAAGCCCTTTGCATGAATACTAATATACTTTAAAACAATGGGTATCTGGCGGAGGGTTGAAGGTACACTGGTTGCAAAATTTTAATTGTCGCTACATTATCTGTAACAAAGATTATGATGCCAAAATACTCCTACTTTTCTGTTTTGCAAACTAAATTAGTTGAAATAATTTCTGGTAAATGGTTATACTAAAATAATTTTTGACTCACGGTTGTTGCGAAGCAACAGTGAATCTTTGTGGTTACTTCCCACCGGGCACACGACGTTGTTTCAACGTTGAAATTTGGTAGAAAAAAGGTTGCGACGTCGACAACCTAATATCTACGTTGCTCTGACGTTGTTTTACAAACATTGGTTCAACAGCAGCCAACAGACGTTGAATTAGCGTTCATTCGTGGTTAAATGTACGACGTCGATTTGTGAACCAATCTCAACGTTGTTTTAACGTGGATTCAACGTTGAATTATGGTTGACGAGATTGGCAACCTAATTTCAACGTTGTTTTAACGTCGAAACAGTAACGTCGATCCAATTTGCATAGTCAACCCTTTTTCAACGTCTATCCAACGTCTGGAAGGTCATTTCCAACGTTGATTCAACGTTGGATAAACGTCATTTTGCCCGCTGGGTTAAGTGTGGGGCAGTTAAATAATGGGAAATGACCAGCCTGCTTTGCGCGCACTGTTTGCCTGCGAATTGGGCCTTTCAGAACCGGAAACACGGTGCTCGTTTCCAAAAACAACTGCAAACTGCTCTAATTCTTTCTCTCACTTTCATTTGATCTCATCCGTGAGTCGACCTCAATGTCCCTTGATTTGCCAATAACACTGTATGTAGTTTCAAGTTGTTAATTATTGCGATGGCGTTTCAACCCGAACCAAACAGATCGCGGGGGAAATAATTTCACGCGTGTTTTAAATATTGGAATTTGTTCGGTGCGAATTCGGAATGCCAATGTAAAAATAATAAATAAATATAATTCAACTAATTGACTATTGACTAAGTCATGATTTATTTAAATCAGGCGAGTATAGAAGAGGGTGGTCCTTAAGAACTGCTCAAAATCCGTCACCTTGTTTGAAGTTCGACAGATTGACGTTTACGGTAGACCGCTAATTGCAAACAGCAACTGTTAACTGTTTGAAATTAGGATAATTTGCGCATTAAAATGAAAGTATAAATTAGCTGTCGAAAGTTACCTTCAAATACGATTTGAGTTTTGCCGTTTACGGTTAGCGGTCTGCCGTGAACGTCAGTCTGTAACTCTCTAACAAAATAAACTGAAATTATATTTTGTTTCGCGTTACGTAAAAGAGTCGCAAAAAAGCAAGGTGTCTCCTGCTGTTTTGTTGAGGGGTTCTCATCTTTGAAACTTCAGATGTACATTGTAAATTATCTGAAAACGCTCCCATTAGCTTAACTATAGTTCTTGGTCTAGTTTATATAAAAAATAAACGGGCTTTAAAATTTACATTTAACAGTTAATCGCTTAGAAATGTTTCTGACTTTGCTGGTATCGAGCGATTTATTGTGTACAGGGTGTATCAAAATAAACGCAATTCATCTTTTGTGCTTAATAACTTTCAAAATACTATTTCTAGTTAAACGCTTTTAGGCTCACTTCAAAGCCTGTTCTTTTCTCTTTCAAACAAACTATTATCCTTGTCTCCAATGCTAGTAATAATTGCACAGGAAAAGATTTAGTAAAACCTATCATTTTTAGTTGCTGCTTAATTATG